CAGAATTCCCCAGCCAGTCCACTCATCTTAAAGTGGCCAAGTTTGGACAACACTGCCCTACCTGGTGCTGAAATGGTTTCAAGTTGCACACACAGCTGCGGGGATAAACAAGTAATAGTTGCTTCCCAACTTTTGAAAATAGGAAATTCTGATGCTAAAACCCATCTCTGGACATACAGTTGAGGATTAAGTGGAAAATAGGTAAATGAACATACAGATAGTCCTCAACTTACAACTGTTTGTTTAACGACCATTCAAGGTTATTTTGGTGCTGAAAAAAGTGACTTACGGCTGGTCCTCACACATACCGCCATCACAGCGTCCTTGCGGTCACATGTCGAAATTCAGGCCCTTGGCAACTGGCATGTATTTACGAAGGTTGAAGCATCCCAGGGTCATGTGATCACCATTTTTGACCTTTCCAGTGGGCTTCCAACAAGCAAGGTCAATGGGGGAAGCTGGATTCGCTTAATGACTGTGATTTGCTTAATAACTCTGGTGATTCACTTAACCCCTGCAAAAAAGGTCATAAAATCGGGTGCAACTCAATGACAGAAGTTCTGCTTCCAACTGTCGTAAGTCAAGGACTACCTGTGCTATGAAAACAGTATAGTTAATGTACCAAGTTGGGGGGCTTTTAATAAAAGGATATTTTTAGTGATACATTTTGGATTTTTTTTTAAGGGCTAACAATTACTTTTGCTTCCACCCCCAAGCAGAGAGTAATCCTTTTGAACATAATGAGACTTACTGAAGTATACTTAGGATTACTCTGCTTCTCTGGGGTCAGCAGTCTTTTCAGGTGTCAGGTGTCATTTAAAAACACACACATTTAAAAAGGGTGAAATGTGAGACTAGGGTGAAATATCATGAGATTACCAATTATAGCCGCCAGGGCCAGATCAGGAAAGTTCAGAAATGAACAATGGGATATCACTATGTCTCCTCTCCTGGAGAACACCCTCATTCAGGACAATGATGTGTGATTAACTGTGCTACCAGGTAACCACTGCCAGAATTAGCCAAATCTAAGAAAATAGAAGTAGGCCTGTCTGTCTTGTCTGAGTAGCACAGAACTATTAGAACCATCAAATCACCTATTTTCTTTTGATATGCTTGCTGTTGCAAAGGAGAATGCACTGCCAGAACCAGACACTTTAGTTGCTATTTCTGCTGTTACTGCCGGAGACGCTTGGGTTCAACAGTCTAGTCCTCTCCTTTCTGAGACCTATAATCCCTGAGCTACCACTCCATCTTAGGAAATCATCATTGCTTTCAGTAGTTCTTTCACCCTTGAGCTCAATGGGCTAGCCAGCACATACATGGGCTCCTCAGCTTGTCCTGAAGATTACCCAGAGACTTACCAGAAAAGGGGTCAAGTTGTTCCCAGATTGGCCTAAGATCATGAGTACAGATGCACTGGACTTTCAACTGGTGATGAATCTTCATCCTCAGTGGTCACCTGTTCCTCAGGCAACCATTAAGCAATAGGTAAGTAGATTCCCCATGGCATTGTCAGGGATCAGAACAGGCTGAGGTTGATGTCTCTTTGCTCTGATACTCGTATTTCCTTCATTCTAGCATGGAAATACCCTGCAGTCTTATGGCAAGACTGCAGCTGGCCATGTCAGTTCCTGGCAAGATATCTGATCCTGGACTTTCAATACCAAGAACATCCCATACAATGAAATGTCAGTTTGTGAGGGCTGGAGTAGATTATCACTAACTGCACCTGCTTGGCTGCCTTTTGCAGGTGAGCTCCACTCAGTAACTGTGAGCCCATGACTGAGATTTCATAGCCAGCAGTCAATGAGAATCACAGCCCTCTGTATTGCATTTGCTGTATAGGCAGTGTCCATGACCTCTGCGTGAAGCAGACAACCTACTCCTGGGTAATAAAGCCTGGAAGATGCTGGCAAAGGCAGAAAATACCCTCTCTTCTCCTTCACCCAGTGTGTGGAAGGGGTTAACAGGCTACATGTCCAGATGTGTGAAGAGGTGTGCCTGTTACTATCAGATCCTGTTGCTGGCAGCAATCCCAGCACTTCTTCCCTGTGTACCTATTACAGGGTGGGCACCACCTAGCTTCTGAATGTGGTACATGTAGGGATTCTATAGCTGAGGGTAAGCAGCTGGAGAATGCTGAAATCTAGTATCTTCACAATGCTGAATGGCTTGTCCAGAGCTGCCCTCTGGGCAATAACAGGTGTGACCTCTAATGACTTTTGGCCACCCTACCTTTTGAAATCTGACCACTGCTTGATTCAGCCTTAGGGCACCATGTTCTGCATTGAAACAAATGTCTTGCTGTTGTTGACAGCACAGATTTTCTACCACTGCTAGCAGTTGCAAAAATGCTTGTATGATGCTTACGCTAAGCATCCCCAGTGTCACAAGATTTTTGGAGTCCTTGTTCTTGCTAACCTGTATTTTGAAGTAGATGCAGGCAGTGGGCCACCAAAAACAAGTGTGAAATATTCCTATATGACAGTGTCTCTAGCCCACAACATCCTGTTTCAGTGGTGGCACAATGCCTGTTGATGCTTCACCCAGAACCTCACCATAGAGCCAGTGTGTTCCAAACTCAAAATATTTGAAATGGAGGCTTTGAGGTTGGAGCGTTTTGCACATCCCTACTTATAAATAGCCCAGCTGGATGGCACCCTGTTTCCAGCAAGAGGTGTCTACAGGTATAGTAAAAAAAAATTAAAACAGCAGCCATTACAGTATGATTAATGCACATAAAAACAACTGGAATTTTGCACTGTTGTGGCTGCCATCTTGACTACCACACCTTGCAGACACCTCTGTTGTCAACCTGGGCTGATCTCAAAAAACCCTAAGCTGGTTTAGACTGGTTAATACTGGATGAGAGACAGGGACTCACCTTCATAGGATGTTCCTG